TGGACTGGCTGCTACGTGCTGATTGGCCTATTCGCTTTGATGCAGCTGAAGCAACACTTCCGCCATCTTCCCCAAAAGTGCACGTTGATCATTGGAACCCTTGAGAATCCGCGAGTGCAAAGTGCGTTCCTATAATCATTGCCGGCTTTCGCCGCCCTAATTGAAGAAAATATCATGCATCACAGGGAGCAAAGATGGTATTGGTAGACGGTCGCTTCAGTTTGCTGCCGTTGCCAGTCAGTCAAGTTTGTGAAGAGGCCTGTGGAATAGTAATGGAGAGTTGGAGACCTCTGGGAGACCTAAATGCAATCATTTGTAATTCCTTACAGGCACGCAACTTTTCCTTGGATCAGCTGATTTCCTTGTTTTTCACTTCACAGTTATGCCATTAAAAATTGAAAAACACTGCATATAAAGTCTTAAAAAGATGGGAATTTCCTCTTTTTTCGGTACTTCCAAGTTGCATGCCTGTCCTTATCTTTGACAAATAGATCCAAGTAGTCATTGGTGCTGATTTTTTCTTCTTCAGAATTTGTCCAGTGAGGTAAACGAGACAGTGTCATATAATGATATTGGTCATTGTAACATGTACATGTACATGTAGTTGCTGCTTTATAGTAAGGAGCAATTTTAAGGAGCTACGCAAATTTAATACAATTGCTAAACATGATGTATGCTTGATAGCATATTAACTAAACTTGTTGATGTTCTTAGAGAATTTATTGGCCACGGCCTTGCTTTATGTAATATTCTTGCAAGACATTGGGCATACATTATCATACAGGCACTCCTAGATTACCTCATGCTACCATCCAACCCACAGGGGTTTAAAGATGACATTGACATATTTGCGGATCTCAGTGACAAGTACAGTCTACACAACTCATGTCACCCACTCACAATTAATGAGCCCTGCAAAATCTTGTGGGTACACAAATCTGCATAGTAAAACCCTGTTCCTGGATGCCCACGGCCATATTTGGGCAAGACACATACCAGTACTCACACATCAGGCGTTGTTGGTGCCAGCATTGCATTGCCGGACCCACTGCAATTTATCAGTGTCCGAGGGAACAGCAGGCGTGTACACACTACACTGGGGCGCTACGGCGTAAATATGCGGATAATCTATAAGAGATCAGTAGTGAAGGGTAATGAGTAAACGCAGGTTCCTTCAGCCCTCTGCCTTAAGTCAACAGTCTGCATATGTCACACTTGTAATACCTGGCTTTTGCAGTAGTGAAGTATGCTTAACTTCACATCTAGTGGGGCAAGGTACAATGCTGACATTGATGTAGAGCGTGCACGTGTAAGAAGTTAATTATTTGTTGGTGTGTGATTATTTTTCTCTCTGTCTGAGTTGTTGCTGTGGATCGTGTGCAGGCCTCAGAGAATGTCAAGTTTGTTTTCAATTACCTTTTTTTTTTTTCAAAATTTGTGAACTGATAATAGTAATGCTGCATGTGGTCATGTTCACAAAAGCTCTTTTAGAAAATGGGATAACCGTCATTGGTACCACTGTCATTTGCCTCTGAAGAAGGACTTGTTATGACCGGAACGTCAAACCCTCTTTCATTTTTTTGACTTGTATATTTCAGGTCAATCCAGTCAGTGAGCAGCAGTCTTATTCATTTTCATGTTTAAAATGACAGAAACTTTTGAAGTATGACATCTCAATTTATCCCAGATGAATTTCATGGTGAATTGGTAGAGGGGTTGTTCAGTGTGATGTAAACTTGAACTACCGATATATGGTAACAACAAAAATATTGAATTTAAATCAGTGGGCGTTGGTCAAATGTCTCCACAACATCACAACAAAATTCCAGAAACACCAGGGCAACCACGCAAACTCTGGAAATAGTTTTGACGGTTGACCTGCAGAGGTCAGCCCACTTGATCAACATCTGTCATCATTTAACAAAGAGTAGTACTGTCCTGACTGAGTAAAGCCCTTGTTGCAGGGCCTTGGCCATTATTACACCATAACACTGGAGGCAGTAAGCCCTGAAGCTTTTCCAAGTACATGTGACATTGAACTAAAGAGCCTTAAAGAGCCCTGTCCATTCAATGGCTTCTTTGTCTTTGAGGGTGTGATTTCTAACTGAATTTAATTACTCAGTTTTTCCCAACCCCACTGTTATAAGTGACTTCGTTTCACGCTTGGGTTAGTCCTGAAAGCTCTCACCAAAATATTTGGAGGATGGGTGCATTTGTTTTCATGCTTCCTTGTCTTTATGTGTGTGTCAGGTTTCAAGTTTGGTTATTTCACTCAAACATCACAGGTCTGTAATAAAAATGTAGACAAAGACCCTTATTTTGTGGGATTTAAGGGATTGTTATTTGGGTGTGAGTGATTGTGGTCCATCAAATCGAGGATGGAAAACAAGGGAATTATATTAAGAGGAGATTAGATGTTAGTCCTTCATTGCAGACATTTGACCACCTCGTCTCAGTTTGAAATCATATGGGCCTATCATTGAGAAAGAAAAAAATGTGAGTTTGTGCACAGTTTTAGCTCAGTGTTCCCAGTTTGCCAAATCTTGCCAAGTTGCCGAGAGCCCAACCCCTTTGGTGTCAGTTGTTTCTATCTTGAAATTTATTATTGAGTCTGAATCAATATGACTGGCTAATGGCTGCAGAACTAGCCAATCATAGACATCATTGGTTTGCTAGTTTGAAGAGACCTGACAGCTCACTCTGACCTTTGACACTTTACGGTGACCCTTGACACAAGACTATTGATTCTTCAGCCTGGTTTCTCTTGCCAGATCTCCTCTCGCTAAGCTTTTCAAGTTTTTTTCCCCCCAACATTGATATTCAACAGCATTTTCTGCCGCCTCAAGCTCAACACTACCAAGTGGTCCACCATAAAATAACAAAATTTACGAGCATTTCAAAAGGAATGGAGGTCTGGAGCATGTTTAACAGGTTGTAAATACCCTGGTGAAGTTTACACAAAACCTCAGAATGGGGACCAAAAGGTTTATGAATGTCAGTGGGTTATGGGGTTCGAGATCTGGGTTTTGTTGGACTTTATGATTGAATATTCAAGTTGATTTCCCAAACTGTACATTTTGTGTACCGGTACCTGTACTGAACAGGTAGTTAGGGTAAAGCTTAAAGGGTTCCATGCGATGAATTTTTTTTTAGGAACACATTTTGTGCAACTTTGTACTCCTCTTAAATGTATGACAACAGTTTGACATCCTTTTTGGGCAATTTGATTGCAAAGTGCACTTTTTTAAACATTTCAAAAATGTCCATCCTTTTCCAGACGTTGCTGTGACGTCATTTCTGGAAAGCACTATTCAGTTTAGGGGTTTTCTGTTCAAATTGTGAACCCAAAATTTGAAAACATTTGCGAGAAAGGCTTACTGCTGCCATGTACTGACACAACAACAAGTCACCAAAGAAAAGAAAATTTACGACAGCAAAATATCCAAAAATTATAGCAAACTTTTTGTGCTGAAATAGCTGTGACATTGAGTTTTCTGCCTGGAATGACATCATAGTTTTGCTCATGAATATAGAAATTTGCATTAGCCACAAAAGCCAAAGAGGCATCAAAATACCCTTGAAAATGGCAAACGAAAGTTGAAAATAAGGTTAAATGGGACACAAAGGTGCATTTTCAAGGATTGCATTACACAAACTGCATTGTATGGGCCATCAAAGAAACTTGTTTCAATACATGAATAATTTGGCATAGTTTGAAAAGAAAGCACTTTCTCAGTGTTTTGATTGATTACAATTCATGCACAAGTCTGCGGTATCAAAATGGATACTTTATAAAGTGGCTACAGTGTTTTGAACATTGCACCAAGGGGAAAAGACTTGGAGTGTCCCAATTGTAGCCAAAATTACCAAATCCCACTGCTTAAATGGCTTAAGAAGATTTACTTAAACTCTACAGTCTCACAGCTGTTATTGTTAAGAAACCATGAAGCTGTTTGAACACTTAGCAAAGGATTCCAGGCAGGTTACTCAAAAGTGGCAGCGGGGATTTATTCATCTTTCTCCCCCATGCAACATTAGCCTAGGTGACCTCAACGGGAGATTAGGCCCAAGAACTTGTCAAACAGACCGTCCGTTGTGGCACCAGTTTGACATTTAGGGGTTAAAAACCAATCAGGGGCTTGGTCCGTTGGGAAGCCCCAGCCTACAGGCTGGGTGCTTTTCCCCATCCCTGACCCTGTTATCATTGAAAACCTTCACCAGATTTTAGCCAGTACACATGTACTTTGTAACCATCTTGGAGACATCCTAGAGACTATCCATCTTCTAGTCTTATTAGGTTTCAGGAGACTGGATGGCTGCTCAATTTTCGACTCCCAATTTATTAATAAGACTTCAAGCACTCGCTTCGCTGTCTTCTCACGGACAGCCAAAATGGCTTGTAATTAGGGGGAAGTGTGTTCCTCAGTTCACATTTCCAGATACTTGAAAGTTGAAACTTCAATATAGAATGAAGCTGCTTATGGGATCTTCATGTTTTTCTTTTGGCAATTTGCCAATCTAGTGTTTGTGCTTAAAGGTACACATACATGTACATGTACATGTACATGTAAGAACTGCCATCATGTACTGCACATGTTCAGTGTACATGCGAACATGCTAAAATATGAGAGACATTTAAGAAGACAGAAACACGATTGGAGATAGTTGAAAGAAATCATTCATGCCCCAGGCCCCCTGAAATATTCTAGGAGAGGCCAGACGGTTACGTGGTTGATACTGACCCTAACCTGGGGTTATATTGGGCTACCAGTTTCTGTAGATACATGATATAATTTGTCTTTTTTTGTCCGTTTAGGCTTAGTCACCGTTTGTCATCACTAACTGACAATTCAGATTTGGACAACCTAGTTTCCAAATGCAGACATCCCATTTTCTGACCTCGGATTAACTGTTGTAATGGACTAATCTTTGGAATTCTAAAATCTGTAAACCAGAAGCAAATCTAATGAGATCTCTTTCATTGTTTTTCTCCTGTGCAGATTGCTGAGGCTGGAAGTGACAGTCTACCATCTTGGCTTTCCTACAACTATGACACACATACTCTACGCGGAATCCCATCAGAAGCAGATCTTGATCAGTACTACATGCAGGTCACAGCCATCGGAAGGTCCTTCAACTCCAGCGCAACGGCCCGCGTGACCGACGTCTTCTCAATCTCAGTCCTGCCGGAGAGGAGGGCTCCCTCTACAGCCGCTGTGCCCTTGAAGGATGCTGCCGCAATGAGTAAATCCAGCTGTGGCGACAACGAAGCCATGATTGAGGCAACTGTCATACTGGATGCCAACTGGGACAAACTGGGAGTGGAGGAGCGCTTGAAGGTTGTCTCCAAGATGTCGCAGCACTCCAGGCTCGGCATGGACGTATTCCGGTTGCTTCCCGCCGGCAGCAAGACCTTACTGGATGGGTCCTTGATGGTGGCAGGTCCTGGTAACGTCAAACGAGAGAAGCATCCGGGTATTGCCCTGAGCTGGAGAATAGGCTGCAGCAAGACCAACAGCGTGGACAAGTTCCCAGTGGTTACAGTCTTGGAGACTGCCTCGAAAGATGGCTCCATGGCTAGCGAACTGAAGCATGACATTATTGGCTGGCGGGTGACCAATGACAGGCCGGATAGGCTGAAGCGTGTCAGACGACAGGCTGATCTCATTGGAACACCTGTGCCGACTCCAATGCCCACAGTCACCACCCCGAAGCCGACCACACTCAGAGACACTACAGTGGTACTGCCAACGACCACAATGACAGTCTCACGTACATTCAGCATTGTGGAGCCCACTCCATCTGTAGTGCCCACCATGGTTCAACCAAGTGTTACTGTGAGGCCAACAATCACAGCATCTCCATCCAAGACAGCCTCCCCTACCCCCACACCAAGCTCCTCCCCCACACAGCCCAAACCTACCATGTCCCCAGTTCCCACTGCTGCCCCTACCTCCACATCAGTCATCAAGACACGTACTTCCATGCCAGAGCCAACTCCTACTCCAACCCCATCGACTGCCACAACTCCTGTTGTCAAAACCAGCACCCCGGTATTAGTACCTACACCAACACCGTCAGTGACCAAACCCACAACCCCTAAACCCCCAACTCGTAAACCCCCAACTCCTCAACCCCCAACCCCTCAGCCCCCAATCATACCAACTACAAAACCACCAACCACTACAGTTACGACACCAAAACCGAGCATTACCACCGCACCACATGTCAACACCCCTCCAGAAATCCGCAGGCGTCTCAAGCGTGTGGATGCCATGGAAGGGAAGCTGTTGAATTTCCAAATACCAAGAAATACTTTCCGTGATGCTGAAGATGGCGACACCAGGAACTTGAACCTAGTAGTACTGACACTTGATCACGCTGAGCTTGGCCAAGACTTCTGGCTCAAATTTAACAAGAAGACACAAACGTTGATTGGTCTCCCACTAAAGGAGCAAGCCCAAAAGAACAGATACACATTGGTCCTGGTGGCACAAGACAGCGAGGGTCTAGAGGTGCAGAGCGCCTTTGAGGTGGTGGTCACTGCGATGTCCTCTTTAGAAGAAGAGAACCCACCTCCAGTCAAGATGGGAATGACGCTGGACATTGACTATGACACTTTTATCAATGATCCCGCATTACAGCTCTTAATCCTCAACAAGATCGCCAAGGCGTTTGGTGATTCAAACGCAGATGCGATCACAATTACTGAGATCAAACGAGGGTCTGTGATCATCTCATGGGTTAACAACACCCTCCCAACAGATACCTGCAACCAAGAACTCATCTTGGAGCTGCAGTCAAAGATCATGACTGAAGATGGCAAGCCCACCCAGGCCCTAATTGATGCTTTCCTGCCAGAGTATAACATCACTGAAGTGGAGAGCTTGCCGCTGGGTGCGTGCGCATCAACGACTCCAGCACCCCCAACGACAACAACGTCCGATCCTGGTGCCGGAGGGCAAGAGCCACCGCAAGATATGTGGATCAGCACCGTCCTTCCTGCCGTGGTTATAGCACTTATCCTCCTCATAGCTGGCATCGTAATTTTCTTTCTCTACCGCAAGAGCCGCAAGGGCAAGCTGTCCGACGAGGACCAAAACACCTTCATCAACAAGGGCATCCCCATCATCTTTGCTGATGAGATTGAAGATGGGGAGAAGCCACCATCCTCCTCCTCGCCTCTCATCATGAAGACGGAGAAACCACCACTGTCTCCCCCAGAGTACACCGAGACTCAGCAACCACTGATAACCAACCACGAACAGCCCGGAGGAGGGGATGAAGAAGACAAACACAGCCTACCCATGGTAGACATGTCAGGCACCCCTTCGTATCAACCCCCGCCTCCACTCTCTCCATCTCCGCCTGAAAATAGAAACAATACCCCATCCCGAGACATCTCAAGCTATCGAAAGCCGCCAGCATATGTCCACATTCAGCCGTAGCCTTGTACACACGGTAGTTTCTCTCGGTCAACTTGTGGAAAGACAGTGACTTTTTTTAAACATCTCTTTATTTAAAACTGTTAAAGTGTTTTTCTTCTGCCTGCAATAGACGGCAGTTTTCAAGTTGAGGATTAGGAGTTTTGAATCGAAAGTGTGGAATTTGTCTTGAGGTGACCTGACCTTCGACGTTCCTAGCTAAGCCTAAGGCTGCAGTTTTACATATTGCAGGATGTACAATATGTAGAAGCATAGCATCCCACCTTAAATTAATCATAACGGCTTCTTTTGATACATTATATGTATAAAAGTATTTATTAAATGCATTTGTGGGTTTTTTTCCCCTTCCAAATTCATTTACCGTATGACGTATAAGTTTGTAGTCCTTAGATGTGATCCAATTTCAAGTTTGATCCGGTTTTTGAAAAAACATTATTAGAAATACATCCTTTCTGAGACTAAGCTGCATCAAACCCCAATTTTTATAATTTGTTCCATTTTGACTTCATATGCAGTGGGACATATAAACAATGTGGAAGAACATGTACTCACTGGAAAAAAAAACAGAAAATGTGCTCAAAATTAGTTAAATGCAGAACAGAACTGCTTAGAAGAAATAGTGCCTTGTCTTTCTGTTCAATAGTGATATAAAAATGAGTCACCAACAGTGAATGTTTTTTTTTCTAGATGTAGAATTTGTCTGGCATGTTTTACAAGACAATTTCGGGGCCAAAATGTAAAAAAAAAAAAAAAAAAAAGTATAAGAAACGGGCACCGTGATAAATTGCTTTCAGTTGGTGGATTCCAGCTTTAAGGCGCTTAATGTGTAACATGTAGTCATTTTTTTTAATGAGAATCTATTTGATTGTTATGTGAAAGTTTTAAGAAAAATAGTAATTTTGGCTTTCAATTTGCCCTTTATATTTTTTAAAGATTCATTAAAAAAAAAAAATAATTTTAAGAATGAGCATAGAGAAAGATGCATTCACCCTATGATATTTGCTGTAATAATTTAAATGTAATTTTTCACCAGCATCAGAAAATATGGAGTTACAGGACACTCTTAATTGAAAAAAAAAGTGATGCAGAGCTGTAAGTTTTGAAAAATCATAAAGTTATAATACCAGCCCCTCTCCCGACCCCATCGAAATGATGCATGGTCCAAAGTTGGTACTTATTAATGAAAAAAAATTAGCATACGAATTGAAAACCATACTTACATGAATTTAATTTTTGTTTTTATGTAGCATTTGTCTTCCTCTCTCGCATGGCTAGAACTCTGAACGCTCAAGTTACTTGACTGATAAATACCCCCCAAAACTACAATGCATTGTAGAGATGACCTTTATTGAGAAGGCAAATACTTTCCTCTATATTGATAATATTGTTAACAAAAAATATCTAATGTTCAATAATTTTACTGTATCTGCAAAAATATAAACTGTTGGAATGTGGAACATTGCTGAGCAAATATTGGTACCGTATGTGGCATGCAACTCCTTCTTGGATCAACTGATTTCCTCCTTTTTTTCCACTTCTCTTGTATCCTGTTAAAAATTGAAGGAAAAAAAACTACAGAGAGTGTTGTAAAGCTTGGAATTTACTCTCTTTTTTATGATTTCACAGTTGCATGCCTTTGTCGAAAGTTTTGTCAAAACCGGTCTGAATAAAACAAGGTTTCCAAAGATACACATGGTGGTCGATGCCAAACTTTCTAAACAACAAAGTGGACGATTACTGCATGCCTAGTTTTGCTTCCTTGACAATGAAGTTGTAAAATACCGACGTGGCAGACCCAAAAGATCACCAAGTCAAGATGGCACCACGGGGCACCAGTGAAGCGTTATCATTTGGTAGCGTCTGCAGTGTGCATTAGGATATTCCACTTGATTGGCTTAAACTCGAGAGTTAATTCAATTGACGAGGCAAAGTAATGAACGTATTAAAAACCCATTGATGCAATTATAGTGAAGGTCAATCTGCATTGGAATGCAAAGAAAAAAATGCTTGCGGATATCATTTGTCCAACCAAATGCTGATATATTTTGTTGTTACAATGCATTGACAAGATTGGTACTGTATTACTTATTCAGAAATAGTGTCGTTAGTTGATTAAAAAAAGGCAAAATATCTCTGTATAAATTAATGTTAGAGTTTCGTCCACACAGTTCAATGAGGTCTGCATCACTGCTTTAACTGATGTGTAATGGAACTTATACCATGTCCGCCTAATGACACTGTTTCCATCATGAATATTAAATATTGAAAATATTTCATTTATTGAATTATGAAAATTGCATTATTGTACCCCTTCCTTCCCCACAATCATTAGAGCAGTGCTACAAAGCATCTGCATAGAAGTTACAATGTCGACGATCTTTTTTATATAACTATATTGCAAGTGTGTACGGCATAGATATTTTTATTTGTAATGTTGTAAAGCATATAGTTTTTTTTTTAATTAAATGCTGAAAGTTAATGAGCTGTGTTTTTTTATGCTTGGCATTTATGTTCCAGGGGGTGCAACAGCACGTCTAAGTACACAGTTATTGTGGTAATACCCCTGGAATTGGAATAGCCAGGAGCACTCATGTACATTTGAATGTATTATTATTATTACCTCTGATATATATACCCATTATTTTAACCATAAGCACTGCATTTTTTTTGCAACGAGCTCGTGAGATAAACCTCTGGTGTATTTGGTGCTTATTTATATATTAGTGGAATATTCTCCTTGTATCTATACTACCTTGTTACATTTAAATATACATAGTTTTAACCTGTGTTTCACTTTTTTTTTGTTTTTATTTTTTATTTTTATTTAAATCTTGTGTAAAATATATGCAATTTACTATGACTTTCAAGTAATTTTTCCATTATAAATGTGGGAAAGTGCGCACTTTGGCTATAAATTGCATTTTGGGATGAGTACTCAGTGCAGAGAAAATGCAACTTAAAAATACATTTTTGTGGGGGGGGGGATGTTTGATAGTTTGTAAACTGAGGAATTTCACACAGTTGTTTTGTTACAAACATATTTCTCCTCAATCATGGCATTGTAAGTGGGGAAAAACTTATACTGGTAATTTTTTTTGTGAACGGAAGTGGGAGTTGAGTTTTTTAGTATTTTCCCCAAGTACGATACTCATGGTTGGCAAGCAATAAGTAAAATACATGTACTCAGACCAGAAGGGGGAAATACCCAAATCCCCCCTCCATCACAGGAACATGTGCACATTTGGGGGGGGGGGGTTTAGGTGTTGGCTATCCACCCCGTCCATCTAATCAATAATAATTAACATATATTATTGGAATAGAAGCCTTTATTTCCATTGATGAATATTGCAAATTTGAGTTCCTTGCTAAAGACCTTTTGGTCTATGTATGTGTTGACTTTATTAATTTAAAGTTAACAACTCAGCTCCCTTGTCTAAATACTTATAAATTTGTACCGACAATCCCATGAACAGAATAGGCATACAGCAATCTTTTTTTCTTTCTTTCATATACTCATTGGGGTTAATTAAAATAATTCTCTGATGTCCAGTTTCTGGCAAGTGAATTGTCAATAAATATGACTACTGTTCATTTGTTCACAACGAAGTGTATGGAAATTGAAGCTTCAAGCATTAGAAAAATCATTTATTATAAACAAACCAACATTTAAGCTTATTGTACATGTATTCAAGAAAAACAAAGTGCTATGGATGCTATGCATAATATAGCCCACCAGTCTTTGTATGCATTGTTTATGGTCTTTGAGATAACCCTTTAGTATTGAATTTCAAACACGCAAGACCTACTTTCATCTTTCATTGTTTAAAGCAAGTACAAGCAAATGCATTTAAATTATAATACTCTATGTCGTTAAAGATACCAACGGGTTATAATTTCCAACAGCTTACGAGTTGCATCACAAATTGTAGCACAGGTGTCAAAATACTTTTTTCGCTCTTGATTGAAGTATTCCCACAGTGGGTAAGTTATTTCGCGAATGAATATTCATAAAATGCGTAATGAATTATTCATATAGGAATACACACTTTTGTAAAAAAAAAAATTATATATGAACCACTGTCTTGATGTTAAATGTTGTGTAAATGCCATTGTAGCACAAAAGATCTGTCTTTTTTGTATAAAAAAACACTAGTTATTGGTCGAGCAATAGTAGTACATAATTCAATATGCAAGGTGCTCAAAGTTCTTTTTAAATAATTTTAATAGATAATCTCCCAGGAATACTGTTTTCATTTTCGTAAAATCTTCGTGTTTTTTTTTCAGTCGTGCAAATTCAATTTAAGACGGATTTGCCTGACTATACAAATCAAGACAATGAATTATTTGTAAATTTTTTAAACAGTCTCTCTTACATTTTTTTAATGCCTGCTTTTTAAAGACACGATAGTGGAACTATGATGGCAATCATCGGATCACAGAGTGCGAATGTACCTTTATGGTAACAAAACTGTGGAAATATTATTTTGGTACCAGGTGATAAAAAAAAAAGTGAGGACACGAACGAATCAGTAAAATGTACTTCATAACTGTTAACCACGTCGTTCGTGATTGTGGATATTTGTGGTGATATTATTAAATGTCAGATATTTTAACTATCTTCTCTGTACATGTAAACTATGTTGAAGATATTACCAGTTATAGACATTTTTTGTGGATATACCTTGATACATGTAGCTATTTAGTCGTAAGTTAACAAGAAAACAAATCCGCTTCTTGAATATTGTGTATCTCCGTACTTGCCTACAAGTTTGTAACGATGCTAGCAGTGAAACAGTATGTTATTAAACATGAATTCTTTTGTGACAAACATTGTGGACATTTACAAATGTCTCTTTTTTAAAGTTTGCCGCTTCAGTTGTGGAGGTGCTTTTTAGTTAATGCAACTTTTGCAGCTTAACATATTGTCAGTGATAGTCTACGTGAAAACACTTCTTAAAAATTCCGTAAAAATTCAATTCACTACGAACGTCTGACCACATGATATGCTCTGGTCCAGCAGGCGCGAATCCAAGAAAGAAGGGGGGGACGATGGTCGGAAACCACCCCTCCCCCAGCTAGATGTCACATTTATTGATGTGTTACATTCACCATTCCAACAAAGTGTCTGACATGTACGTCCGAAATTACAGAATTGCCCTGAAATAAGTGACCAGTGGAACCCCATCCAATCTTTTCTTAAATTAAAATAACTCATTTTAAGTGACAAAATAATGTTCGTACACCGTCTATATAGGGCCATGCTTTGTGAACAAAAACGAACGGGTGAGGTGATTCAATCAAATTAAAGTGATTTTTTCCCCCTCCCTAAAATATAGAAAAGGAGCCCTGAAGTACCACAGTGCTATTTCTTAGTATTACCCTGCCTGAAAATAAATATATAAGTTGCATGGCTGTGGTATTTTCTGAAATCCTTGACGAAATAATGGCATAACATTCGGCAACCCGATTTTCCCCATACAATCTGATAATAAAATGTCTGCAGACCACACACATAGTCTAAAGTTTGACTTGAAATATGCCAAACAATATGACAAAAGTTCCCACTCTTTTGACCTCCTGTTTTGGTGGGGTGGGGTGTCATATAATGTCAAGTAGTTCGTAGCCTAATACAGTACCGGTACCAAGTTTTTGGATTTTGCTCAATTTATTCAGGAGTGCTCCTGATATGCTTTTAGTACATAAATGAAGGAAATGTATTAATGAGATGAGGACTAAATACTTTGTCCAAAAACTGTGAAGTTTGTGTTATTTATTCAGGAATACGTCGGGTGCCCAGCAGAAGGGCGTATGGGCGTTCTGACGCTAATATCACACTGAGAAAATTGCATTGCCGGAAAGGCTCCATACCAATGTTCCCCCGTGCGTATTTATGAATCCATGGTGATCTTCTCCCGCGCGTATTATAAATCATACGAATTTTAAATTTGTCACACGTATGAATCATAATTTTTTGAACAACTTGACTGTGTTAATTTCCAACGGAAATGTTTAAATTTCATTAATTTACTAGAAGCAGTTTTCTGCCAATGCCTTTTTGCTGGGAACATTTTGGTGATGACGCGCTCGCGGGTTAGGGCGCTCTTACTCGTCGTACACAAAAGTCATGTGTACAGTCAGTGGTGTACAACAAGGGCGCCACCGAGAGAAGTCTGAACTTGAAGTTGTGGTCTTCGCTCGTCCTGTTTGCAGGGCGGGGGTACGAGCGAAGTTGGGCCTTGTGGTCTGCATCTTCGCATAGCCTTGCATAACTTCTTTGTTGATAAGACTCAAACTTATTCAACATTTACTATGGCCTATTAATTTTTCTCAATTAATGTTTCGCATTGAGGAAAAACGGTTTCTCATTCCAAAATAGATAATTCAGATTGACGTTTAATTCATTTGACGGTGCTTTGGCTAGTAATTTGTACTTTCCTACCCATTTATTTTTGTTCTTTTACTTTTCCTAAAATGTGAATTTTTTTTCTAGACCGAGGATGAGAACGCACTATTGTTTCGTTGCTTGCCGTGTCGATATTATTTTACAAGCTTTATTTCTCACAAAAATGATGTTTGATTACGGCTGATGAAGAACTGTTGGGAACAGCGATCAGATTAGAGGCAGTGCTAGTGTTGGCGAACCCAATTTAAAAAATGTTGGTCCCCAAGAAGTGGGTCCACAAAATTACGGCGTGGGGTTCGGGGCCCGCTTAAGTGCTTGGGGGGGGGGGGGGGGAGCAGGAAGGATGTCCCCCTAATTTGTGGCTTTCGCGCTGTGCTTGGCGCTGTTACTCACGAACTATACGTTCTTTTAGAAAAGTTCATGCACTGTTGAAAAGCTGATGAAATTCCCTTTTCACTGATTGGGTTATTTTCCACCAGCTCCCCTGGAAATCCCTCCAATGGATGTCCAGAATCACCTATCTCCACCTCCAGCAACGTGTAGGAACGTGTAGTCGGTATTTTTATTCACGTGAGAATCAACGATTGAGGGACTGGGAAACTAGTCTTATTACGATAATGAGTGTAGTCAGACACCCGAAACGAAATCGCAACATTTTCATGATAAGGTGATGGGATCGTCTAGGTACCAGAACACAATCGAGGAGCAGCTGTTTTGATGTTGTTGACAACATCTTGTCCAAAAAATGTCCTTCACTTTGTTGAATAGTTAGGTAAAGTATACAAATTACTTCCTTTATGATAGTGAAATTGTACTATTCCAACTGATGTGCACGTTCTTAGAACGTCTAAAAGTTGTAAGAAACTTAGCTCTACTGAGTGTAGCGTTGAATTACGGGTACCCCTCCATTAGTCCATACCAACGCTCCACCGATTCGCCATCTGGTGTCAGGTCAACTCGCCCCTGACCGACTCGCCCCCTGACCGACTCGCCCCTTACAAGCTCGCCCCCTGGCTGACTCGCCCCCTAGCCGACTCCCCTCCCCCCCCCCCCCCTTGCCAACTCCCCTGCTAGCCGACTCGCCCCCTGACCGACTCGCCCCCTAACCGACTCGCCCCCTTGAAAATTATGCACCGTACGGGGACATCGTGAAATAAAAATAAAGACAGTGGAACACATTGCCCGGTCGCAACGTGAAACTTAATGGAGCCAAATTACTCAAACGCAAGTTTGAAGGATTTCCAATACCAATGCAAAAAACTATTGATCCTTTTATAAAGAATTTGGGTTGGAAACACCTTAGCCCCATAAATGTGGCCTATTTACTGGACTGTCTCCGTAAACATAGGCCACACATCCACATGTACAAAAATCGTGTCGACGGAGCCAAATTTTGATTTTCACATTTAGGCTTAGTTTGTAGGGTTTTTTTGCTTTAGAAGCATACTCACCCTCTTTACAGTCTAATCAGAGAGTGCTGCCTTTTTCAGATGTCTAACTTTTGTGAAATTTCATGTTGAAATTTTGATACGCAAACGTGTAAAAATGAATCTGGAAATTTCACGAAAAATATACATCTGAAAAAGGCAGCACTTTCTGATTAGCCTATAAAGAGGGTGAGTATGCTTCTAAAGCAAAAAACCCTACAAACTAAGCCTAAATGTGAACATCAAAATTTGGCTCCGTCGACACGATTTTTGTACATGTGGATGTGTGGCCTATGTTTACGGAGGCAGTCCAGTAAATAGGCCACATTTATGGGGCTAGAAACACCTTAGCACAACTTTACCGATATAGCGCAGCGTGATTTTTCGGAGTGCCCGTGGCATAGGGCCCGTTGGGCATGTGCGCGTAGTATAGTAGTGTTCACGGTGACTGCCGGCGGGCACGGCAGGTACCGGTGGGTGCCTGCGCGCGACAGGTATACCCGCATTCACCGTTTGTCAATGACATAACGTTATAATTGTAAATCTCGACTCTGGGTCCTCAGTTTCATTAAAAAATATTTTTCAGAATAAATGATGTATATTTGAAAAATCAAAAAAATGTTTTTCGTTTTTTTGGTTTAGTGGTGTTCTTATCAAACATACCGAACGGTTTTGAAAAAGTTATAAAAGAGGCTCAGAAATGGAACTTTCAGAACCAAATTTTGAATTGGGCAATAAACTCAGATAACGAAGCTGATTTGCTGCACCCTCTGTGTTTCCCTCCACTGTGTTTTTTTTTTTTTTACGATGTCCCCGTACGGTGCATCATTTTCCAGGGGGCGAGTCGGTCAGGGGGCGAGTCGGTCAGGGGGCGAGTTGGCTAGGAGGGGAGTTGGCGAGGGGGCGAGTCAGCTAGGGGGCGAGTCAGCCAGGGGGCGAGCTTGTAAGGGTCGAGTCGGTCAGGGGGCCAGTCGGTCAGGGGGCGAGTCGGTAAGGGGCGAGTCGGTAAGAGGCGAGTCGGCCAGGGGGCGAGTTGACCTGCAATCGCCATACTTTGGTGGCACCGTCACAGTAGCATAGTCACAAACCCACGCGAACATTTTGGAAAAAAACAGCAAAATAGTCTGAAAACTTACAGCTCAATGTGTTTGCATGGAGGCTCAGTTCTTGAATTGACTGTCGAATGAGGGCGTCTGACGTGATGTCACTGTCGTTGCTCGATCGCGAAGAAAAACAAGTCGCGCTTTATCAACGACTGTTTCGTGTAATGATACGTGCTCCGATCCGCGCCGTACGACAGTATGGGCTTTGAACACACCCAAGGTGGAGACGGCTGAAACGTACACGTTCTAAACAAATTAATGACGTCTCCACCCTGGGTGTGTTCAAAGCCCATACTGTCGGACGGCGCGGATCGGAGCACGTATCATTACACGAAACAGTCGTTGATAAAGCGCGACTTGTTTTTCTTCGCGATCAAGCAACGACGGTGACGTCACGTCAGACGCCCTCATTCGACGCGACAGTCAATTCAAGAACTGAGCCTCCATGCAAACACATTGAGCTGTAAGTTTTCAGACTATTTTGCTGTTTTTTTTCCAAAATGTTCGCTGTTTGGGAACAATATAAGGGGTCTCATGGAATGTCAAGAATGTATAGATCAATCCAGGATAACTGTCTCTCTCATTTGTAATCTCTTTACCGTTTTTTTGGGGTCTTTTTGTCCTCGCGTGGGTTTGTGACTATGCTACTGTGACGGTGCCACCAAAGTATGGCGAATCGGTGGAGCGTTGGTATGGAGGGGTACCCGTAATTCAACGCTCCACTCAGTAGAGCTATAAGAAACTTAGATTTAGAACGCTTCTTTGTGCATTTGGATTTGGCATTGCTGATTTGGAAAGAACTAGCGGGATGCGGCGCTTCGCGCGGCACCCGCTAGATGGGTGGAGTCAGTGGCGTAGCCACCGGGGGAGCATTTAGAATCCAACATTTTTCGGGGC